AATGTCTATTGTCTCTTCTGTGAATAAACATTAACATAAAACATCTTTTATAAACCTAATGTCTGTGTCTAAAGATAGCCAATAAATAAACAAAGTATAAAACGAAGATAAACAAACAAAATAAAGGAAAGCAGCTGAAGAAGAGACAGCTGCTGTAAAGGAGACAGAAATTAAAGAAGAGACACATTAAGCCGCACAATGTACATGAAACTCCCTCAGATGCTGCTGCTACTTCTGCTGCTGCTGCAGCGACTACTGCTGCAACGACTGCTGCTGCAGCGACTACTGCTGCAGCGACTGCTGCTGCAGCGACTACTGCTGCAGCGACTGCTGCTGCAGCAGCCTTTGCGAAAGCAGCTGCAGCTGCTTTTGCTGTTGATGCTGCTGTTGCTGCAGCTGCTTCCGCTCCAGCAGCTTTTGCTGCTGTTGCTGCTGTTGCTGCTGATGCACTAGAGGGTTGGTTTGCTGCTATACAAACAAACAAACAACCTTGGGCCCCTCTCCGCTGCTGCTATCTTTTGCTGCTGCTGGTGCTGCTGCTGCTGCTGCTGCTGCTATGTTTCACCGCTGCTGTTGTTGCTGTGTTGTGCTGCTGCTTCTACTGCTGTCTCGCTGCTGCTGCTGCTGCTGCCTTGCAGCTCGGAGACGGCAGAAGAAAAGAGGGAGACTATAAATCAAATAAAGAAAAACAGAAAAAGAAAAAGGAGACAGACACCTCAGGGTCTCCTTACTCCTTCTTCGTTGGAAATGCGTCTCCACCTGTTCATGTTGCTGTTGCTGTTGCTGCTGCTGCTGCTGCTGCTGCTGCTGCTGCAACTGCTGCTACTGATACTTGTGCAGCTGCCACTGTTCTTACGGCCACACACTTGTTGCTACTACTGTTGTTCCTGCTACGACGGGTATTGCTACTGCTGCTGCTGCTGCTGCTGCTGCTGCTGCTGCTGCTGTTGCTGTTGCTTTTGTTTGTCTGTTTAGCGTTACGCCTGTTGTATATTTCCTGGTGTTTATTTATTTCTCTTTCTTGGTGTCTTGACACCCCAGAAGCTCCGCACCTTCTCCTCCCTGCTGCTGCTGCTGCTGCTGCTGCTGCTGCTGCTGCTGCTGCAGCTGCATGGGGCCCTTCCAATAAGATCCTAGTTGAGCAGGCTCTTGATAAAGCAGTTTATGAGGTGGGTCTACAGGGCCTCCCTTATGATGTTTTCTTTTAACTCTACAGAAGGGTGTAACATTAGGATTGAAGATAAATTCAACTAAACAATGCAACCAAGACTTATGATAGGGTAGATCATAGAATTCTTTTGCTGCTGCATGCAGCTGAGGTAGTCTATATCCAGGTATTGATGGGAAATCATGATGCTCTGTATGATAGCCGACACAGAAAGTAAATATATTCTCATAGCCATAGCTGCTATAGGTTTCTTGCAGAGCTTGACCCCAAGGAAACTGATAATGCTCAGCAATGAGATGACCGTTCAAAGGATGAAAAGACATAGAAAAGAAGCTGCCGGCAATTAAATAAAATAATGCACAAGGGCCCCAGTATATATACACCGCAGCATCCCAAAGGATTACAACAATAAAATTTATTAGTTCAAGAGCAGAAGGCTGCTTACCGCTTAGCAGCAAAGGTCTTAATGTATATGTAAAAGGAAGCAGCAGCACAAAGAGAAGCTTTGCTGCAGCAGATGAGAACATCTTTGCTTCTGTCTCCGTCGGTAGATCTGGATCCTTCTTATCTGTCCCTAAATACACATGATGATCTTGATGATGAATAATAAAGGAGACACCTGCCGGTACCCCCATAGACAGATTAACAAAGATAGCAAAATATTTGTGTAGAGAACGATAAGGAAATAGTGCGCAATGACATGCTTCATGCATTGATAGAAAAAGAATATGATTAAGACTGCCGCTAACTGTATATGTTAGAAGCATCAGAGTCCACATCGATATGTCCCAGCATGATATCTTATATGCTATCCATATATTCAATATTGTTACTGCTGCTGCATATACACCTGCTCGGATATCATAGCCGTTCAGCTTCTCTACTTCAGGGTGTCTCTCTAATATCATTTTTCTTCGCTGTACATGCGATATGCCTTGAGATGTCCAGTGAAACTCATTTGAAGCAAATACTCCTGCTGCTGCTGCTGCTGCTGCTCCTGCTCCTGCTGCTGCTGCTCCTGATGATGATGGTGATGGGTCGGTGTCGGGAGCAGGTCCTGCTGCTGATCCTGATTCTCCTGATTCTCCTGCTGCTGCTGCTGCTGCTGCTGCTGCTGCTGCTGCTGCTGCTGCGCGACGAGTTAGTATCGAGGAACCCTCTATTGAGCGGGATTGCTGCTGCAAGCTTTCTGCTTTGCTGCATGAAGAAGAAGGCGCTGCTGCTGCTGCAGCAACTTCAGCTCCTGAGCTGCTGCAGCTCTGGCTGCTGCTGCTGTCGTCAGCCGCCCCTGCAGCATACCCCATGATGCAGCGAGTGAAGCAATTAAGAGAAACGAAGAAAGAAGAAATAGGTTCAATAAAAAATAAACAAACAAACAAACAAACAATCAAACAAACAAAAAATACAGACGCTCCGCTCTCACACAGAACACGAAATAATATGCAAGTGCTGGCTTGCTGCAGCTACTGCTGCAGCAGCTGCTGCTGCTGCTCCCGCTGCTGCTGCTGCTGCTGCAGCTGCTATATTTCTTTATATGAATACCCATAAAGAAAATTTCTTCTACTGAGCAATCATTTGCTGAGAAAAACATAAAAAACAGTTGTCTGCTGCAAAGAAGTAATATCTTGTACATGCTGCGGTAACAGCAGCACCAGCAGCAATAGAAGCTGCTGCTGCAGCTGCTGCTGCTGCTGCTGCTGGTGATCGTCACTTAGTCGGCTCTGTCTAACGACAGTTTTATTACTTTTGTTTCAGTGGCTGTTGATTGAATTTGTATTTTGTTATATTTTGTATTTTGTTTTATTTTATTTCTAAGTTATTTGCTGCCTCCCCCTGCATATACACCCAACGTCTGCTGCTACTGCTGCTACTGCTGCTGCTGCTGCTGCTGCTGCTGCTGTTGCTTTTGGTGTTGTTGTGTCTTTCTCTGTCTCCTTTTAAGGTGTTTATCTAACTTCTTTGTTTTTTTGTTTTTGTATGTAGTATTTGTTTGTTTTTGTCTGTATATATATTTCTTATTGCATTTGTTTGTTTGTCCGTATATTTTATTTATTTGTTTGTCTCTGAGCTCCTTTTGTCTGTTGGTGTTTATTTATTTATTTTATTTGTTTTTGTTTCTATTATATATTTGTTTAAGTTTGTTATTCTGTGATTAGCAGCGGGTTGTCTCCCTTCCATTCGCTGTCTCCTTTTCTCTGTCTTTGTCTCTCTTCGTCTCTAGTTGTCTCTCCTTGTCTCTCTTTGTCTCTGTCTCTGTCTCTGTCTCTGTCTCTCTGTCTGTCTCTCTATCTGTCTCTGTCTCTCTTTGTCTCTGTCTCTGTCTCTGTCTCTCTATCTGTCTCTTTATCTGTCTCTGTCTCTCTCTCTCTCTCTCTCTCTCTCTCTCTCTATATATATATATATATA